CCACTCCTCTCCTCCCCTCCCCCCCCCTCTCCCTCTCCCCTTTCCTCCTTTTAGGTCACACCCTAGGACATTTTGTTGGCATCCGTGTGATACTTCAGGTTAATTAAAGTTGAACAGATATGGACAAGGAGCTGGCACATGAAGCTGGAGCCTGGTAAAAGGATTACTCACCTTCCACTACCACAGTTGCAGGTTTCGAGTAGGCTGTGCCCAGACTGTTCTTGGCTACACAACGATATTGTCCTGCATCTTCTCGCTGAACATTGTGTATCCTTAAACTCCCTGAATCGAGGACAGCAATGCGAGCGTTCTCCTGCCAGAGGAATAAGCATTTGAGGTGAGGGCTGTACATGCAGGCTGCACACAAGCAACATCCGATATCTGTTTAAAAAGATTATGTTTACATGCATGAACATTATTTGTATTGTCCTACAACTGAAGAATCTGGATCCAGTTCTTCTTGCTTAGGATTGTCCTGACATACTCATCCATCACTGTTTTTGCAGATCAGTGAATTATAGCTTCAAAGGAGCTCTTGTTTATGAGAACACTGACAAGTGCATTCAGCAGCATTTGGCCACACTTAGCAGCAATAACGGATATATAACATAAAATATAGATACACAGAGAATATTTCATTTGTATGCAGAATTCTTGCAGATGCAGCTGTTTATGAGATAAGCCCCAGATTTCCCAAATGTTTGCTTCCTGACTACTAGAATTTAAAAATACTATAACCAATACTAACATTTTAACACAGCAAATAATTAGCATTACTTAAAAAATCACACTTTACTCACCTTTACAACTGTTTCTCCTTTGACCCATGAAACAGAAGGTTTTGGATTCCCCATTGTAGTGCATGGAAGAACAGCCTTTAACCCTTCTATTATTTCCACATTTATAGGTGGTCGGGTTATTTTGGGTCCTAAAATTTTAAAAGTCAAAAATTAAAGTTGAAATGAAGCTAAGAGATACTAGGACAGGACAAACTCAGAAAAGACAACAAAAATTCTGCTGGTTTTCTGCACATTTCTGAAAGACAGAGCAGTCTTATTTGGTCATGAGCTGCCTTGGAAATAAAACACTTTCTTCAGCACAGCATTCCATTTCAGTTTATGGGTGCAAAAACAGCAAACTTGCATGGGCATTTGTTTTCCCAAGTGGAGTTTGACAGCCATTTGAAATAGGGTCTGGGCTGAAATCCAGATTCAGATAAGAGTATTTTCAGTATTGAAGAATGTTTGCATTCCAGGTTTTGACATTCTTCATTGCATAAACACTGTCTTGTGTGAAGGCTCAAATCTGGACCTGAGCTTTAAACCCAGATTTAAACTGTTAAAAACAATTTTAACCCAGGCTTGCCTCTAGCTGAACAAGAAGGGCATGCAATCTCAATTAATATCCCTAATCAAAGGATTTATAGCTATGCTAGTGAAAAGGAGAAAGGCTCCTCAAAGAAAAAAATCAGTTAAACTCCCTTGAAGTTAAAAAACAATATATTTAAATTTATTTTACCCAAAGAAGAACACAGCCTAGACAACTCTGAACTAGGAGTTAGAAAGACCATCATCTAAGTATTATGGGAGATCTGACATTTTGATTCCTTTGCATGATACTGAACCAGCAATAAAACAAGTTTCAGAGAGCATCACCTCCTGGCACCCACCTGCAAGTGACTGGGATGCTGTAGAGCTCCAGAATTGCCACACCTTAAGGGTCATGCTTATTAGTGCATACAAATCCTTTCCTACAGACAGACGCTTTAGCCCTTTAAATACTGCCCTTTAAAGTGTTTGTGTAATTAATTGCAGCTATGTGAGTTCAGCTTCACTGAGTACAGCATGTATATACCCCTGCCTTCCATGTAGGATGAAGAGATTTACACTGTGCTGCTTCAGATGTTTCAACACTGCTATTAAGAGCATCTGAACATCATTTTCTTGATTTTGTCATCCTCAGGCATAAATCTGATTAGTGAAATCTTATGTTTAAATTCACAAGAGATTTATGCAATATTGCCACAGAGGTGTAATCTATCAAATTGCACCTCCTTTACAAAGTTTTGCAAAAAGGGCATTCTTAAATTTATTTTCTTTAACCTCTGATCCTAGCACAAGCGTGTGTTACTCGATGAGAATAATCACAACTGTATTAAGATATGATCCAATATGCCATCTCTGCCTCAAGGGTCCGCACACAGCCTCACAAGAATGAGCCTGCCCTGAACACAGATGCCCAGGAGCCATACCTGGGGATCTGCTCAGGCATTCAATTAAACACTTACACAGTGTAAGGAAGAAATTGCATACCCACTTACGCATTTTCACTTGGAGAGCCCCACAGCTTTGCGCAGCTGCTCCGACCCCGTTATCTGCTGTGCAGCAGTACACCCCATCATCACTGTCCTCCACGCTCAGAATGGTCAGGAGCTGCCCATTCCTCTGTATGCTGTACCGTGTGTCGAAGAGTCTGCAAGGCACGGCGCAGATCATCAGGGGTGGGAGGACAGCCAGAGATGGAGAAGGAGCATTGCATTTGTATCTGCAGACCACTGACTGCACTGCACATGGAAATAAGTTTTACCTTTTATATTTACTTTTTTTTCCTTTTATTTTTGGATGCCTGACTCTGAAAATACTGAGTTGGGTCTTCAGATTTGGTTAGGTTTTCACTAGACCACACAGTTCCTGACTGCCACTAGTGTGATGGCAATTATTCCTCCATCCAGATATTGGTAAAGTAATTAGGTATCATATTTGAGTTTCTGACTAACCAAGGACAGGCGTGAGCACAAATAATCTTTTCCAGCTGGGTCCTGTTTTAGATACAATTGCTCAAAGCAAGGGAACGACTGTTTATATAGGAGCTAGAACTGTCTGAAGTTGTCTAAAGAAACCTTCTTCAGATTATAAAAAAAAATAAATAAATGTTTAGTTCACTAAAGAGACAATTTTTACAATTGTGAATAAATGATGCAAACCAAAACCCATGTACTTTTTTGTCTACATCCAAAAGTGGTTTTGTCTGTTTCCTGGGGAAAAAAAAACCAAACCAGCAAACAAGCAAATAAATGTGCTGAAGTCATCTGAAGGTTAGAGGATTCAGAGATACCTACAGTTTAATGACAGCAGGCTTTAACCTGGAGACTTCAGAGAAGTCAGTAAAAGCCCTGAAGTTGAAGCTACAAATATACGGGATATTGTAACAAAGTATGTGGTACAAAGACCAATTGAGCAGGGGTGGGGAGTGGGAGCGAGGGGCGTGAAGTGATGCGGTTTGTACCCGTGTGAGAGCAAAGGAAAGCAGAAAGAAAGCTGGTGAGAAATTGGAGGGCTGATCTCCCGATTTTCATTGCAAAACTGCAAAAGTATAACAAAACTTCAGGCAAACAAGATTTGCATAGCAATTCATAAATTCCCCCATGTTTGATTTTCACACCTTCATTGATGCTTTTCGGAACCACTTTCATGCAATTGGACTTTGATTCTGACAGTAGCAAAAGGGTTATAACCTGAGGATTGTCTCTCAAGATATCACAAATACCTGATATCTAAGCATGCCCTGTTTTGTCTTTTACTGTTAACAATCACTAAGTAATCTCAATGTGCCATTTACCATGTTACAGGCATGTATTTCCTTTCAACAGCCTTTCAGTCTTTTATCTCCCTCCTCTTTTTCACCATGGGAAGAAAGAGCTCCTTGTAGTCATCCATAGAGTAAAAGATGGGCTGATACTATTCTCTTCTTTCCCTGAGGAAGGCTCATTGTGGGCAGCCCTGTCCTGGTAGGCGGGGCATGTAACCATTTTGCTCAGCACAGGGCACCTGCAGGTATACTTGCACAAGTTTTGATGCCAAAAGGAAAGGCACATCCAGAGGACTAGTGCTGACATGAGTCTCTGCCCTGTCCTATTCCCACTGAAGATGAATATTTACATACTCTTTTGTTTTGCAGATTAGCTTAGCTGTATGTTCAGGGTGCTGGAACCTTGGCAAGAGAAGAAAATTTTGTACATAAAATAACTTATATTTATTGCTTGCAATAACTAGACCCTTTGAAGTTTGACACATGCACACATAAAGACACAAAAATATATTTATTTGGGCATTTTTTTCAGGAAAAGAAAATCCACTAATCTGATCCTTTTCCATTGTGCAAATACTTCCATCTGAGTTCCTGGAAAATAACAGAAATATATTCATCTTATCTATTTCCCCCTCTTGGTTCTGAGTTTTTCTATCCAGCAACACTGAATATTAATGCCACACAGCTTTGTGAATGTGAAATAATTGCTGCTATTAATGTTGCTCCAGCAGCCTCACTAAAAGAATGAGGCACCTGAGCTCTCTGTCCTTTCCAGCAAAGATTTTTTGATCTGTATTTTCCTTATTTGGACAATGTTGTTAAAAAGGCAGCGTGTTTCAGAGAGAGTGGGATGGCTTTTAGAAAGGTGTGTTGAGCTTCCAGAAGAGGAGATGGAGGTGAGAAATGATCTGCCTTTCATATTACCTTAGAACCACATTTTAAAGACCATGGGGAGGGAAAGTCATGGTCCTGCATGAATGACTCTCTCTCCCAACTTTGATTTTCACGCATGATGTAACTGATGGGGAAGAAATTAGGAGAAAGGTGACCTGATTTGGAAATAACATCCATGAAAGTTCAGAACTCCATCCTCCAACAAAGCCAGAGTCAGACAACTAGGACCAGGGTTTTGCTGAAGTTGCAGGCAATGAAAAAAAGGTATTTCTGGAGGCCAGAATGTATACATGTAAATTTCAGCTTTTCCCCTATTCTAAAATGGTCTTCCAAGCAGTAAGACCTCCTTCTGCTGCTGGCTTGTTTGGACTCTCCCAAGAAAATACGTCAAGGGAGTTGACCCATTGGCTCGGTTCATCAGGAGCTTCTTTGGATGCTTGACTCCAACAGTGAGAGTCATGCTTCAGGTGACCATGTGCCTAACATGGACATCTCCTGTGGAGAACAGGCGCAAAGGTTGTGCTGTAATTTTCCTGTACAGAGTGGGTCACTAACAGCAATCTGAATGAGAAACTGATGTGAAGCCACATGACAGATGGAATGTGATTTCAGAGTTGGAAGATCAAGTACAGTTTTTTTTTGCAGAAGCCTGTCTACAGCAATCGAGCAAAAGCAAAGGTAACAACTTCCATAACACATTTCCAAGGTTGCCTTCTTCATATCACTATCTTGATGCCTGATGCTTAATATCTGACAGTGCATAACAATGAGAAGCCAGTTTTCCATGGTCATATACAAAACTAGAAGCAAACAAGAACGGCACGGCACAGCTCCTTCCATGCAAAGTTTTCAAGCACATTGAGACACTCAGGCAACAAGTCTGGCAAAGTTTCTTTTAAATATTAGCCAGCATCCTCCTTCTTTGTCAAAGGTAAACTGAGGAACAGAGCAGATTTAGTTGTCTGAAGTTGGAGAGCAAATTCCTTACATAGCTTGCAGCAGAAACCAACTGTCTACAAGCTCAAGTGTGTGAAGGCGTAGGAGCACCCTCCAGGTATTCTTATCACTCACGAAGGAACACAGATTCCTATATAATTACAGCCTCTCACTCTCTTCCCTGCTACGGACCCATTTTGATATTTTCATATATCTCCTTTATCATGAAGAAAAGCACTGTTAATTTTGGCAGGAGATACTGGAGTGGGCTGGGGCTGCTCCCTACCTGATGGGAATGCTGTTGCGTGTCCATGTAATCTCCGGCTCAGGATACGACTCCACTACACAGACAAACTTGGCAACATCCTCTACCAGCGCATCCACTGTTTCCAGAGGAGTGCTGATCAAGGGAGCTGTGTGAAGGAAGAGAAAATGAGAAAGCTTATGGTGTCCCCTCGAAGAGAGGACACAGCCTGTCAGATATATTTGGTGGAGGCAGCCATGTCCCTGCAGGGTCCTTCAATGGCATTTTCCTTTGTGGTGTCTCCGTAGCAAACAGAGCAAACCAAACTCCAACAAGCCCAATGCACCCTATGCCTCTAACCCTCCTCTCCCACAAAGTTCACACCACTAGATGGCATACTGCAAGGGCACAGGTGAAACTGTCCCCCTGCTACAAGGGTGGCTTTACATAGGCTGGAAGTGGAATGAGCAGCGCACAAACCGAAGCCAAGCTGACCTGCCCCTGGAGTGGGCACAGTGCCTCCCTAATGCAAAATTCATGACATTTAGGCTTATTACAGAATTTGTTCCACTCAACTATTTATCTTTTAAAACAAGCAAACAAGCAAACAAACAAACAAACCTGTTGTATAGTACTACATTTTTCAAAATCAGGTTCATAAGGGTCTTCCAGGATATTCAGATTTGTATCATGCCTAGCACACATTCTCTTTCTCACCTTTTCTTATCAAGTAGCATGAAGGTTAGAAGTCTGATGCTTATTATCATAGGCCTGTTGTCATACATTACTTGAATGTATAGTAAGAAACATTTGCCATCACTCTGGTAAAAGACCTGAATCACAGCTGGAAGGGATCAAAATATAAGCCTAGAGAATCACTTTTCTTGTGCATGGTATGCATTGCAGCCATTTCCTCCAAAGACACTTGAATGGCTTTTAATCTATGACTGTAAGGGACACACATCCAATATTTGTTGGAGTGGATTTCATTGACAACTGTGCTGAGATAAACTAATTTCATATCACATTCCTGAAATACCACCTTGAAAACATGTAGTGGATGCAGAAGTCCTCCCGTTCCTCACTCACAGTAGCAGTATCTGACCCACTGTTTGTCTTTTCACAGGAAAATCCCAATTGCTCTGTATCTGCTGGCCCTCCTTTGCACAAGAAGATTCAAATTCATGCCAAAAAAATAAACTGTATCAATTTTACCAATCCCTCCCTAAGGAAAGGGAAAAATAGAAGACACTCAGTGACTGAGAATAATAGAAAGTCTGTACCTTAATTCTTTTTCAGTTTACATGAGAGTCAAAATTAGAATGTATTTGGAGTTCTGCCAGAATGAAGCTAGAGGTAAAAAAGGACTAGCTTCCACTATCAGGTTTATGTAAAAATCTTAATGCATTTGACATTTCATTAGAACAAACCTGCCTCAATATTTCTAGATTATATGACTTCAGATTGCATCATTGGTAATGTCTATACTTACATAAATCTCAAAACTATAGCTAAGTTATCGTTAAAGATTGTATTAATTAAACTTTAATTAAAGCAAGTCCAAGACAGATTCATTTTTAAGATCACTTTTTTAAATCGTATCACACTTCAATTTATTGGATCATTTTGGGCTATATTAATTAGAAATAATCATCTGTATTACACCCCAGATGAATCCCATGCCAGTGAAATCAAATGGAAGATTTCCATAAAGCCTACATTTTCCTGCTACTGAAGGTTGTCTTAGGAGAATAAATTCAACTGATGGCTATCCTGTCTACTCCAAAAGGGATGTTGCTATTTCATGACAGAGTTTATTGGGTTTTGATGGCATTAACCCCAGAGTTTTAAAATCTAATTTTATATAGTATGTTTTTATTGCTGTTGTCCACATGCCTTGATCTCTGGGAGGATGTTTTTCTAACCCTGAGAAATGTAAATTTTTAGAGTAATGATAATTCAAAGCAACCACTTTTATAACTGTTGTCACAGTAAGAAAATAAGACCTGTCAGTTTTACATATTAAATAAATCCTCTAGAAACAGGGAAATACCTTTATGTTGTCTCTTTAATTCAATGGATGACAGAATATTGCCTACACCTAGTCTGATCTGGCACTTTCTGAAAGCCAGCACACAGCTCTTTGGGCAGAATCAAGCCTCATACTGACAGAAAATACTGTCCAAATTGACAGCACTATGGCAAAAGGAAAAGGAACAGTTTTACAGCTGCCTCCCCAAATTCTACATCCTCAAAGAGCAACTGTCCAACAACAGTGATGTGTCACTCCTTTTTACCTTTCTGATATTAAAACCAAGTTCTGGGCCAGCAGGGAAGTGAAGATAGTGCTGCCACAGCCAGGGTGAGGGGGTAGAGGGCATGAGTGTGGAGACAATGAGCAGCGGAGAATGCTTCCATTTTGTTGTGAGGTGGCAACAAAGCCCACAGAATGGCTGAGATGGTGTTTGCTTCTAAAAGCCGTCCAAGTAGCTCATGTGCTGGTATTAGCCTGAGTTTTCTCTGGAAATAAACTGAAAATTATGATGCCCGTATTACCAGATTTTAGCATGGGAAAATAAAATCTGAATAATGTATGAACATATCTGTCAACCCATACAAATGTAGCCAGGCCTTTCACTCACATCCATTGTGCCTTTATGACAGTTTTAGGTAGCCCTGTGGCTTTAAATAACATTGAAAATCAATTAACTTACATATGTGTAAGGCCACGCAGGTGCCCTTTTTCTGGATGTCAGCTGTAGTTTCCCGAGATAGTAAAATGACCCAAGGCTGGTCATGAGGCCATGAGAAAGCCAAATGCCCTCCTATCCCAGGCCCACCAGAAGCTTCCAAATTGCTTGGCTTGGATTTGGATTCACACTTTTGAAATCACACGCTAGGCAAACAAAACAAAGCAGAAACCAGAGCCAGCCCCTGAAAAAACCGCAGTTCCTCTGGTCAAAAACTGATCAGTTGTGTTTCCAGCTAATGTTGCAAAACCTCTATAGGACACCACTGGACTGTAGTCACGTTTCAGCCTCTCTTGGGGAACAAGCCAGTTCAGCCACCTGTGATGTTCTAGAAAAGGATACATATCTGTTCATTGCACTGTGACACCAGATAAAAAACAATCTATCCCTGTCCTCTTTGGTTTTCTTGTCTCTCCAATCTTGTCTTACCACAGCATTCAAACAGAGTCGGGCTCAACAACTTATTTTAGTGCCTTAGGAGTATATTAACATTTTTATTTTAAAAGGATTTTATAAAGAAGATTACCTCTTTTTTGTCCCATTTTGAGAACAACCTGACTGACAATTGTAAAAGCATAGCCCTACAAAGAGCAGCAGTGTTGACCTAATACGTGAATACTGGCAACCTCCTTAAGATACTGCTTTGCTTTCCTGAAGTGGCAAAGTTTCTGGTATGCTTTGAATGGTTCTGGACAATCACAATGCAGTAAAAAATGTTTTCCTACAGGATTGCCACATGGTATGTGCCACTGTTGCACTTTGTACCTCAAAGACTCTTCTGAAGAGATTTTTTTTCCCAGTTCTTTTGTTGGCTAAAAGTATATATGCGTGTGTCCATGTGCACACATGCACACAAGGTAGGGAGAAGGTATAAAGACTTTTATGTTATATGCTCTGTAAACCATGCATATTTGTATTTTTATATATATGCTTTGTAAAGACAACATAGCTATTTACTTCTTTTGAAGATTTATATAGTTATGAGCATACACTGGCATGCCGAACAAATCTTAGGCTGTGCAGCAGTGGGTGCTACCAGTCATTGAAACTTCTGAGCTCCCTTTGACATGAGAAATGTATTTCCCATCCAGCCTGAACCCAAAGATCTCCCCTGCCCATTACAAAAGATTACGTGCTTTTCATAGACAAAGAACCTTCCATTCCAGACACAAATATGATAATATTTTCACTGCTATCCTCCTAAATGCAGTAAAGTATGAATCACTGAAAGCAGCTCTTTTTTTTTTCTGGGAGCAATGCAGCAACACTCACCCCACCATGAACAAAGACACCTTCCCCTTTTCAAAACCTCCTTCGGCAAGTGGCAGAAGTAGAAGAGCAGGGCATAAACCTCTCCAAACAAACCTTTCAGGAGCATCTCAGCCAAGCTGAGGGCTGCCAGGGTGAGGATGTGCACCAGGGACACCTTCAGCAGGTCATTCATGTTTGATCCAGAAGGCATCCAGCTTCTTCAAGAAAAGTGTGCGGCACTCCTGGCTGGCTGCATTTCGGAAGTGGTGCGCAAGCAGAGCTTCTCTGCTAGTGACAGAGTAGGGTCTGAGGGATCTAAGTATAATCAGGAATTCTCCCACCCAGTGGTGGTGATGGACGTGGCCAGCTGGTGCGTACGCACTTTGGTCAGTGCAAAAGCGTGGGGCTCATGAAACAAGAGAAAGCAAATCCCTTCTGAATTCCTTCTGAGCAAACAGAGCAGAGTACAATGGGCAAATGCTTTTCCAGTGCAGTACCCTGCCCCAGTTCTGCAAAGTCATCAGACCTTTATTCCAGCACCGTGTAAGAGCAATAGTGGAAAAAATGTTTGAAACTGGATTTTCCTTCCCCCTCTTTTCCATTTTTCCTCTCCTCTCTCTCATACACACTCCCTCTGTCTTATTATAACCTTTCTAGATTGGCTGCAATATGCCACCTGTTGTCCTGCTGATAGCATTTCTTTTCTTAACAGATGTATTTGCGGGAGCAGGAGAGGTTGGCATTGGTGGCTGAAAGTCATTGGTGGCTCTTTGTCAAAGAGGTTGTCAGGGTTTGAGAACTGCTGCAGTACACCAAAAAAGCAAAGCTTTGGCCTGGAAACAGACCTCAGAATAAGTCAATATCCATAGCAGGAGCAACATTTATAGTACAGGAGAAAAGAATAATTTCATTTCACCATCAACAGAAGCCCAGGGGAATTGGGCATGGGTAAAGGCATT